GAGTTTCTCTTCCCTCTTCCGTCTTCTCGTGTAGTCCCAGCTTAACTTAGCTTTGACGGCGTTGATTGTCAAAAATCGAGTCGGCACCCAGTCCCAATTTACGAAAAACCAGCTTGGATGGACCCGGGATGCTAGTATCTTCTGGAAATTATGACGTTGAAAAAGTGATCTGCGATCCTTCACTAGCGACACTCGTGTCGAGTCTACCCGATGATGCATGGAATATGCAGTCGTAACGATGTCGTTGGTAATAGGCGTGGGACATGGACGGCCTTAAACTGCGCATCGTAGTAGAATATCGCGTTCGTCGTTGGACTGACAGAAAATAATAAATAGAAGACGAAAAGAGAAATGGATGTATGCATGGGGCAGACTACGAGAAGTTGTAGTTTATGGTAGCATGGACTCACATGGGATGGGAGGAAGGGACTTGGGGAGCATCTTCTGAGGGCAGCTAGTGACTGGAGGGTTTAGACGTTATCATGTACACGAATGTACCTGCTAGTTCCCACGTACCCTATGTAGCTAACGAGGGCACCGGGTGGTTGGTGTAACCTGGTTGAAAGTACAATGCCTGGCCCTGTAAGTACCGTAGCTGTACACGCATTTTGGGACGATACCGCCACGACAAATGAGCCCACTCGCGTTCCATAGCTCCCCAGACTAGCAGCAGAAACTTGCATGGGATCCCCGTTAGACAGATCTATGGGCTGGTACTTGACGATTCTAACTGCGACTGCAGGTATCCAGGTACCTACCTCATCCGATCAAGTACTTTTCAGTGACGCACGATGACCTCGGTCGGGCGAGAGTACGTATAAGTGAGATCCCACGCCTGAGTTGGGTACTACGCGCAACGTACATATGCTGTGCGAGGTACACCAACTTGCCCACCGTCCCAAGAAGCTCATATCTTGATATCTATATGTGACGAGAGAGATTAGAATCGATAGGGTGCAACGATTGGAATCATATCAGTGGAAGATGCGCCACTTTCCGTTAGCGTTCTCGTACAGCATGAGCGGACCAAAAGTCCACGAATGCTTTCTTCAATCTTGCGACGCTAACTTAACCCCCTTCATCCTGCCCGCCGCGAAGGAAGGCATTCAGAATCAATGCTGTAGAGGCTAGGCGCATTGCAGTACTTCCATGTACGAAAAGGAGAAGCGACCGTTTGGCAGCGCCACATTGAAGCAGAATATGTACTTAGACCCTTGTAGAAGGTGGATAAGTGTGGATATGTCGCGGGGCTCGCCAACAAGCCTGACCTTGCCCGTCTTGTCTCTTCTTGCCTGTGCGGTCCCCACGCTCAACTTAGCGCCGCCGCCGTCACCAATACTTGCTCCAAACTGGCGTGATTGGTTTAATGGGAACTGGCTAAGCGAGTCGCATCAGTTAGTGTGGCTCAGAGTCTCGGCCGGGACTTACGACAATTGGCGCACGCGAGCGGTCTGGTTGGGGCTTGTCACGGACTTAAAAAAGGAGTTGGAGACACAAGAGGAGTCGGACGATAAATTATCATGATGATGATGGCAAAGACTGATCGAAAAAGGGGGTTTTCCGTCCAAAAACTATTGGTGAAGAACGAAGCCTGAGCGTAGATAAGGAAAACACGTACTAACCTACATGCAGATAGCTAAAGGCCACGAGTCGTGGGATCCATGTCCCTTCACTTCAACCTTGCGTCTACATACATACTATGTACATACCTTAAGGCTGGTGAAGCGAAAACGAGACCCGAAGGAATATCCCATCCGATCTAATCCCTCAATCCCAGATACCAGATAATTATCCCAACCTCTCAGCCTCAGATAGTGATTATAGTCTAACTTCTTGATAGCTGGGTATTATATATCTATAGATATCTAAGATAGCTCACCGGTGTGGATATCACGGATAGTGAAGTGTCGTGTCTATCTTTTGGAGGCGTGTAAGAGATAATGTTGATTTAAAGATTACAGATATGTGTCTCCTCGGAAAGCTTGCCGCTGTCAAGCAAACGACATCCGTATCTCCAATCATACCATTGGTATATCGATTCTTGTTGGTCTGTCCCGAACACCAGCTTACTTATCGACGTTACATATGTTTGCTATAGCTTGACCAGTTGCCAGGAAGAAGAACAATGCATGCAGATCATTTGATCTAATCGCCGACAGCTGAAGCAAATGGTAACAGGCTAAGAAGCACTTACTAGTATTGGTTACGCGGTTGCGCGGTCACGGCATGACCTTTTTGGTGGTAGTAACATCGTATAGTGCGTCAGGCCCTGCGAGATAGAAAATTTTACTACGTAGGGTCTTTCGTATTGCGACATCGTTAGTCTTTCGGACCACATACTGGACGAGTTAGGTTGACCCGTCTCTTGGCTTCCTACCAATGGTATCAAGAGGTTCGCCTCTTAGACGCCTAGAGGAATTAAGAGAATGATCTAGTATGCTCTTGATAGCTGAGAAAGATATGAAGCAAGGCGGATTGAAGCGACGGAGATAATGACAGGAGAAAGATATCAATGCAGGAGGTGAATCAGTCTCTAGTCTGAGTCTGAAGTCTAGGCCTTAGGTATCGTACTATCTGACTATGCAATACTGACCTATCCTTGCACACCCCCCTTGAACCTCTTCACCGCGAGAAGGGTACTAAAAGTACTACGCAGTACTTAACACATGCATTAATTGCAACGGGATGCACCCAACCAGCACCCGACCGTTTGGGGCGACTCATCACAAGCAGCGATGGTTGATTATCGCGGGGATCGCCATAAGACGCATGACGAAAACTCCGTTCGTCGATCTCATCATAAGAAACTCGAATATATATGCCACTCATATTATTTGTGTGTTTATACATACTACTCATGAGATTCGTTATAGAGGTTGATGCGACATGAGTAGTTTTCGAATAGTTTGAAAACTCAAGAGTTTAAGAAAGTACAGAGTCAGAGAGTGACAGAAAACGTCAGAAACACGACCAGTGATAAACACCCCTAGTTCAAATGGGGGTCCACACTTTCTAACGATATCTCTTTGAGAGCTTCCCGTTGCAGAGAAGTGGTTGGACGAGGGTGGTGGGCAAGTGGGGAGAAAGGGGGGTCCGCCTGCAGATCGATGTGCGCATCTCGAGACAAGGGTCTCTTTAGCGGGGCGCAGAGAGAAAGAGAGACAAGGGGTCCCGAAGCTCAGGCCAAGTGGCCGCATCGGCCATCGGCTGTCGACCATGTTTTACTAACAATTATTACTCTTACTATTCTCAGTCCAGCAACCGACCGTTTCACCAGGCTATTCCCATTCGGGCCCGACTTCACCTTCGGGTGCTATAAGTCCACCGAATTCTAATTAAGGTGATATCCCGTGAACTATTTTGTAGGAAGCACGTGAGGCCTTGTCGTTCTCGGCTAGTCTTCACCGATCCCTAATCTCCTTAAATCAATTTTGCTCTCGGGCTTAAGGCGGCGATGGCTTAAAAGGTCAAATCAACAGTAAACAGAAAAGTGTCGGCTGGTTGCTATCTCTGCGCCAGTCAGCAAAGATCTTTGAAAATCTTGAAAATCGACCCAGTTCCACGTCAGCTCGCCCAGAGTTGTACTTTGGTACTATGGATAGGGGTCGGCCGGGTTTCCCCAGAGTTAATATGTGAAATCTTGGGTTCCCTTTGGTTCCTTATGTCATCGGACAGGCATTGAGCCGCACAGGAGCAATTTGCTTATTTAAAGGTTCCGGGCGTATGGTGTTGCATTCGAAAGTATAAGTATAGTTTGTCGGGCCGGTCAAGCTTTTAAGCTGAGACGCATCGTTAATGAGGCTAATAATGTTGTTAAATAAAAGTGTGTCTAGATTCTGATTCTTACATATGTAGACCTAAGGTAAGGTAAGGTAAAGGTATGCGTCTGTATGTCTTGCGCGTGCAGATTCATCCCGTGATACGGGCGAAGGATGTACATACCGGCTACACGGCTCGCAGGCTCGGTTGTGAGAGGCTGGGATACATGTAGCTCTTATCGTTGCGATAGGAACCTTGGGAAGTACATACGCCTTACCCATGTACATATCCGGTAATCCATTCGTAATCCATAATCTGTGGGTAATTGCATATGCCGCTTCTCATCCTGGTTCATGGAGCGGCACAGGGTTTTCATTCTCTGCATATGTACACACGTACATGACCGGGGTGTAAGAACTCAGAACAGCGTGTTGGGATTTCAACCCAGCATGATCCTCGTGACATATTTCCAAATCACTTCCAAGGTTCTGGCTTACACGTCAGCCATATATTTACGTACATATACATAGCCTCATCTCATCTCATCAACATCAAATATCTTTACTATGTATACACCAAAGTCTCTGACGGAGAACAGATATTATAGTTGTTATGCATATGTACTAGAGGGGCTATGCTGCCGTTGCTTCCAAAAGGCTTGACATTTCCGTGACTTGCCTATACAGGACAACCAACCGAAACTGACAAGAATACATGAAACCCAAGGTCAAGTCCGGGTATATTTATATATCACTATGCTTCCGTCAACCGTCCGATCTTCTCACATGTCTTTTACTGTATATACATACCTCCGGTCTAACAACTACGGACTGCGGAATTCTTGAGACAAATCCCACGTCGCAAGATACCGTTCAGCCTGCTGCAGTACCAGGTCTCAGTGACACCGAGTTGACGTGCGTCATGGTTTCACGTGTGAAAGTGACACGAAATAACATCCTTCAGCTCCTCCCGGGCCATCCGCGGGCGGCTACGGGCATTCATCACAACATGATCAAAATTCAATCGTTCGGTGATCTTCACTTGGAATTCCTAGCCGAGGAATAGGATTGTATGTTCAACTCGGTGACCCTTTTCCATCCCGAGCTTACGTAACCAAGAAATGCGCCTCGTCGTTTTTTTATCCACGTATCACATGTCTTAGATTGCTCATCATCCCTATTCGACACCGGAAAGAAAAAGATTTTTCAATGAAATAAATTAAAAATTTTGCGAAAAATAAACTCCGAATCGGGGAATCGAACCCCGGGCTTGACGGTTCTAGTCATGAGAATATCATGAGAGCGTCAAATGTTGGCCACTACACCAATTCGGATCGTGATTCACCAATTCTGATTGGTGACTTCAGATGAGTTTGGCTGTTGTTGCGTTGTACTATATGCAAATTAGCAAACTCCGCAGCAGAATTCCACAGTATACTGTCCGTGCGAGTACTAATCAACACTGGGATTCTAGAGCCTCGAAGCTACTAACACTTATCTCAGGGGATGGACTGTAAGTACGCGCTAATCTCGCCCTACTCCAGCCTCCCCTGAATTTCATAGGTTTTCATGTGATTGATAGGCTCGTTAGAATTTATTTCTACAGTGCTACTCAATATTGATAGCAAGATTCTTCGAATTCGCGGGCCCGTCTACTCTAGCCCTAGCTCCCCTACTATCTTCTTAACATGCGACTTCTCGGCCATGCCCCAATCCAGCGACAGGAGCATCGTCCGTTTCTCCTCCGCGCCGGCAATGTCTTCCATCAGCACCCATAGCTCGTCGACGGCCAAGGTCCTTACTCTAGGCCAAGGGTGCGCCATGAGGGCGCCTAGCCTCCGCCTAGCCTCGAGGACGCCCTCGCGACTCTTCGCCACTAGCTCCGGCGATACTCCTGATAACCTATCGTCGTCGAGCTCCGCATGTACCGCCGCGATAGCGCCGTAGACCTTGATGCAGGCTTCGAGCTTGCGCACGTTGCCGGTCTTGTACGCCGCCTTCTGCACGAGGAGGCAGAGCTGCCGCAAGTTAATCTCTGGGCACCGCTGCAGCACGCCGACGTGGAATAGGTAAGCCGCCACCTCCAGCGTGGGCACCGTGACTCGGTCCTGGCCCTGGTATTGGTTGAGGTTACGAAGCAGCGCCGCGCATATCTGCCTTAGATTCTCGGGAGACTCCTCGCAGAAGTTGGCTAGTGCGGCTCTGCTGACTATCACCAAGTCTTCGTTCCCCGTGTCGGCCGAAGTCACTAAGCCCGCTAGGAACATTGATATGTTGTCGTCCACACTGACCCTCCAGCTTTTCGCTACGGCCTGATCCAATCGCTCCGCATCGCAGAGGCGGAATAGAAACCCGAAGTATTCTCTTGACGAGAAAGACAACTCCCGAAATTCGTTGGTGTATCTATCTAGGAGTTAGCAACGAAGTGCCTGCGACGTGTGATCAAAGTAGATACGCACCTAGAGTCTAGGAGCATAGCCAACGCAGACTGCGCCTCAGTACGAACTCGATCTAACTTTTCAGCAGCTAACCGAAGTATGCGTGGGAAGAGGGCCGTGATGACCTGCTCGTCGCCTCTCTTCGCTTCCCACAAAGTTTTGGTGGCCCTGATCGCTTCTAACCGAACGTGAGATCCAATGTCGCCGCGCGCATTCGTCGTATAGTCATCGAGACCCTCTGAGACGATACCTAGGAAATCCGATGCTCTCTCTTGGAGGATTACTCTACCGACTAGACTCTGAAGAATCGCAACCCGAGTCTCGATGTTCTTATCTTGCACCCACCGTTCAGCTAACACATCGCCCACTAGAACTCCGGCCGGCTGGTCAGGCTCGTTTTGCTGGACTTGGTACGCGCGGGCGAGTGCGTGGAAGAAACCATCGCCATGCTTGTTGCGTGGTGTCTGTGGGCGACGCACTCTGTTAGACCATCCCCCGATAATCTGCGCCCGGCGTTCCTTGTTAGAAAAGACGACGAGGACTAGAGCAGCCACCGATGCAGTCTTGATAACTTCGCTCTCGCTTCTGTCAAGCCATCCATTCAAGACATCTTGCAGAGTCAATAGTAACTCATCGAATTGCTCCAGACGACCAGTCTGCTGCGTGTCGACCAAATCCTCAATCGATCTTAAGAGGTCCAAATTCGCCTTCTCATCAATAATATGACCCGGCTGCAAACCAGATATTCGAGAGTCTACTGAGATTCCTCCCGCCGCACCCATAAGGAGGATTGGAACTGCGGATACCACGAGTGCACCCAAAGCTTCAGCGATCAATTCCGGTTTTCGATACTTTGTCTTCTTCGAATCCTGCAGAAATCCTCTCAAGACCGTGCAAAGTTTAGCCGTGGGTAGTCTCTGAAGAGATTCGTGATTTTCGATTTTGAAAAGCGACGACAGAAGGTCGAAGACGGCTGCAAGGCTTAGTAGCAGTCCGTGCCGCTCTTCCACTTGCCTTACTTGAAGAGCTCTGAGTCGAGACAGGAGCAGTTCAGCCGAACTATTGAATCGCTCCAATGGCTCGGAAGCCTCGCTACCGATCAATTCTGCTGTCAGGATACCGAACGAAGTAGCTGCTACTCTCCGAGATCCTACGTCCATATCTCCAATACCTCGCCACCCAAGAGTTCCCTCTAGCAGTGCGTGCCCATAATGTGGTGATAGCCTGGTGGCCTGCAAAGCGACTTCGTGTATTGCTCTAGACCGGAGAGCAACTGTATGGTAGTCAACAGTTTGCACGACAGCGATGCCTTCCTCTACTGTATCAGGGTGCCGGCCAATCAGCTCTTGAAGAGCAGCGGACGAGCCACGCCTGATATTTCCGGCCGGATCTAGCGAAGCAGTCACGACTAATTCAGTCGCGATCACTTGTAGTATTGACGCAGCAGGATCGTGACCCCTGGCCACTAGTACGGATTTTGTCTGTACCTGGAGCAACTCGGAAGTGCTGTATCGACGAGCCAGCGCCCAGATACCAAAGCAAGATGCATCCCTGACATTAGTCCCAATTGAACCGCCGGACGGACTTCGCTTCTCGAAAGAGAGTCCCATCAGTAGGGCATGTATAATATCGGATAGATTCTCAGGGGGTGGCGACCTCCGGTACAAAAGGTGAGAGAGAGTAAGCATTAAGCCGTGCCATTCTAGCGGGTCAACTGCCGTCAGGTCCCGGGTAGGAGGAACAGACGGATTAGACTTGTTCTTGACCCAGAGGACATTCCGGTTGAGTGAATCGAGAACAGCTTCGATGACTTGGGAAGCCATGTCAGGCTCTAACTTGAGTGTGATGATACTAAGAGCTTTGCTAGCGGCCAAACGCACCGGCGTGTCATTATCGGCCAGTCTTTCAAGTAGATACCCAATCGACGCTTCTATTGTTTCGGTATCGGTAACGCTTTGCTGTGGCTTCCGCAAGACTAGAGTAACCACAGAGCGTGTGACTTTTATCAGCATCTTTCGAGCAAGCGCTGAGCCGTTGATGATGTCGAAGGCTGGATTCTCCTCTGCAGCTATAACTTGCGTGGCGTTGAAAATGGTAGACAGATGCGGATCCATGATAGAGGTGTCTGCCGAAGCGCCTAGTATGCCAGCTAAGAACGATAGAGTGCCAATGTAATAGTAGGGAGACTCAGCGGGGGCTTCGTTCGATGGCTTCAGGGTTGACAGAGCCCAGTTGACGAGAGCATTCAGGATGCCCAACTCCTGCATGTCCTTTCGCATAGCGACGCGGACAAGGAGAGCCTTGGCGCCATCCCTCTCTTTTCCAGGCAATGCAAGGTATTTGATTGCTAGAGGGATGACTCGTAAGGTGATGCCAGGGATTTGGGCTGGCCATTCAAACCCAGGAATAGCAAATCGATCAAGGTCGTCGGCATCACCAGACGATATAGTTGAAAGATCGAAGGGGGCGAAGAAGAGTTGAGATAGCCATAGTAGCACAATATATCTCTCGTGCCAGGTCCACGGCGTAGCCGAATCAGCGTGGCGCTCCGAATCTTCAATGGCGAAAAGCAGAAGCTCTAGATATCTCGTCTCGACATTTAGAAACCTAACAATCACCTTTTCTCCACGAATTTTGCAAAACGTATAGAGAATTTTGCAGATCGCGTTAGGAAGCGGGAGCAGGAGTTGAGACCGCATAGACAGCGATCTAGTCTTTCGATGGTCGTGCAGACATCCCAAGTATGCCTCTGCCAAGACTGGTAACCACTTGGGCAGATACGGGTCAAGTAGCTGTGGTAGCTCTTGAAATGGTTCTAGCACCTTGGTACCGCGTATAAGATTATGCTCCAATGCTCAACCGATGAGGATTTACTCACCTGTGACATTAATCTTGCCGTTTCTCTCATGCGCACGCGCCTCCGGAGTTGGCCATTAGGCTTCCTCAGGAAAGGCTCAAGAGAGCGATCGAAATCGGCAAGCAGATCCGAAGAATACTTCTGGATGTATACATCCCGATCTTGCTCTGGAGCATCCATGTTCACCTTCAACTGAAATTGTAAACGTCAGAACTGGACTATAACGTGCGCTTCATTGAAGTGTTGTATGTCAGGAGAACATTTGACGAGGGCTCTCCGCTCATTTCACACCGGTGGTTTGTCGGTCAACGCAGATCAACTCCGAGTAACTACCAATCAGGATTATGCTAATACAATTAGTAGTATCAAATCCTAATGAGTAAATCATTGGCATACACGTTATGTGTTTTGTACCTGGCAGGCAGCGAGATTCTTCAAGAAACCCGGTGCCTAATAAACACACGTTAGATGGTTGGGGTCACGATATATCGGTATTTGATATTACGATATTGTGGTTAGTTGCATGATATCTGACTAATCGGCCATTCAGGGGCTACCACCACCACCACCACCACCACTGTTGTTATAGTGGAAGAACTCGGCAGATATCCCAATCTAATGCGTATATATATGATTTATGAATATACATATAATTCCAGATGGGTATATATGCCTAGATATATATAATCGGGTTCTTCCAATTTCCTAATTATTACTATGAGGTACTCTTACGAGCACACATCTACACTATCTGCCACAGCTACTTCACGAGCAAGAACTCTCCAGAGGGTATATTACATCTTACCTACCAAATACCATACATACCTCCTAGTTGTCACCACTCCTCAAGACACGACCAATATACAAGTCCTCCGCCTCGACAGACAACTTCTGCTTGGTGAACCAGCTCCAGGGGTCAAGGAAGAACATGACATTCTGGTCCTCGGAGCCGAGCCGGAAGACCCGCGCAAGAATACACACATTCCGTGGCGGCACGGCACTCGCATTACCTTCCCAGCCGTCCGGGAGCCGGTTCTCG